CAGATCAACACTGAGAAGCAGGGATGGTGCCCCGTCTGCATCTTCCGTGGATCCCACCGCGGCGAGGGGTTGTGCCGGGTCAGCAGGGGAGGAAAGGGGAGTCCTCGAAATCTTCCTCTTCTTCAGAGAGAAGAAAGTCTGATTGTCCCTCTTCCTCGAAATCAAGCGCGTCCTCTTCCTCGTCCGTGCTGAGCACACTGGGCAGAGGGACGCAAACGTCAAGCTGTTCACCCCAGGATAAAGCTGCTGTGGTGGGCAGCTCTACAGGGATGGGTACCTGTAGAGTGGCAGCTGGAACGGGGCTAGGTGACATGAGGGGATTGTGGCCTGACAGGCTAGCTTGGCGTGCTAGCTTGTGACAAAGGCTCTTCATATGGCGCTTTTCCACTGCGTGGTATGACTCTGCTCGGCACGGCTCAGTACGGCACGGCACGGTTTGCGTTTCCACTGCAGTTCAGTACCGCTCTAGAGTGGGTGGGATTATTCACATGTCGTTATAGTTGCGCCGCTTCTACTACCACGACTCCTAAAAAAAACTTTTTCATTCCGCGTCGCCCCATCAAGCTCTCGCTGGATCCGCTCCTCTGCTATCAATGAGAGGAACGTCTGTACTTCCGCAACAGACAACAAAACTTTTTGGTTGTTAAAAAAAAGGTGCGCTCTTTCAAAACAGTTGCGTTCGATCCTTCGCTGGCTGTGCTGATTTAAATCTAGCGGTTCTTTTGTGTTTGTGTCGCAAGTTCAGTGACGCAGGTAGTGACGATTCTCTCCGGCCAATCCGTGATCAGCAGAGTTTACATGTCACGTTTTGGTAACAGTACGGTTCACTTGGAACCCCAACCGAAGTGGTACTAAAAAAAGTACCAGGTACCAGGTACTGTACCCAGTGGAAAACCCCCCAAAAGTGAAACGTACCGAGCCGTACCATGCAGTGGAAAAGCACCAATAGTGAAGCGTGCACAGTGTTCACAGGAACCGAGGTTCTCGATCGCCAATTGGGCATGTTTCAGCCCAAGACATGCAGAGCATTGCTGCAGCCATCGTAATATCGAACAATCCTTGCAATCAGCTGGAATGCAAATTGAAGGAGTCAGGCGAAAAATGGCGTGGTGGCCAGTCGTTCGTTAAAGGTTTATCTAATTTGTAGGCTTCTGGTGTGAAGCGAGAAGAGGTTTTTGAATGTCATAGTAACGTTGTGTCACTCCCTTTATACTGAGGGCTGGGGAGGCCACTCCCAGACACAACATCACGTCTGCCAGCCAGTTTGGGCTGGCGTAATGTAATAGGGCTTCTGAGGAATACACGGAAGGGGCGTATTCCACAGAGAGACACCGAAACGTATGCTTGAAAGAGAACCACATATTTAAAGAAGAATGGTAGACATTAGCTTCCCGACATGTGTAAATAGTAATATATCTACTAATCTCAGGCGATGAACCAACTGTACTGATGGATGAACTCAAGTATTATAAAAACACCTCTGCCACAAATGCACATAATTGATATTTACTAAACTTCATTGATACTTATTTATGAAGTTATTCCTGGCTCAGGAACTTTCGGAATGTTTATAATTCAAATTGTGTACAGTTATGCTCTCATCTAGGATACTGGCTAAAACAACAACCACTAAAAAGAATTAGAACAACGGGGAGAAAGAGGCATCCTCCGTTGCTTTCTCCCATATAGAAGAGTTGAGACTAATATCAATCCAGAATAAACAGGTTTTTATTTAACATCTTTTGTGCATTATTAACATCTTTTGTATACTTGTTATACAAAAAGAGAATATTGGGGCTGACTGATGTAGGCAAAAACTCACCCAATTACTCACTTTCTGCCATTCTAATTAATTGGTTTAAAATGCCTATTCAGCCTAATACATTCAGTTAAAATGACATGTTTTCCAGTATTTATGTTAGTGACAAATAATGATATTAAACCTTTTGTTTATACGCACCAATACATGAATATACAGCAAAAATTATACATGGCAGTACATGGTAAATTTTGATGTATATAACTGAAACCTTAAGTAACAAAATGCCATGTTGGGACTTCATTTGAACTTAACATCGGATTAATCTTTAGTATCAAAAACTTTAAGAGTTGATATTGAAAAAACTCCATAGGTTTTTTGCATTGATGCTTAATCACAAAGTAGTGAGTATAGGAATATACATACAGACCATATGCAGGGCCTGACAATAAGGACTGCCCGATGGCCCGGGGCCAGCGCGAAAGACGTTCGGGACAGTAGACGGATTTGTCACTTGCCCGATCGGGCCACTGCAGCGTCGTGCCGACTTATCATTTGCATGTGTTTTTAAGACTTGTTAATTAAAAAATTAAAGCGATTAAAAAGCATTTGGGCGCGAAAGACAACTACATTTAGTACTCACAGACAGCCGCGTGAGCCGCCTGAACGGGCAAATACATACAAAAGTATGTCAAAATACCCGCCCTGGTAACTAACTTTGTAGCTTTAACAATGATTAATCTATATTAAATTTATACACTGGAGTATGTTACAGATGCTCTGATGTACCGGACATTTTTTGTTTTATTTCAGACTATCTTCTGTCCCGTGCTTGCACACAAACTGCACTGCAATCATTTTCCCAATGGCCATTTGTGTGGAAATATTACGTTATTATTATACTTAGACCACTGTGAACGAGCGATAAAAGAGGCCAGAGATGCTGAAGACGGACACAAAGAGGAGAAAATACTGTAGCAGGCAGAACAAGATCACCGTTCACGATGCGCGAAATATAGGAAGAAAATCCAAATACTGAATTTTATATGAATGTATTTCTGAGGGCAACGGAACTGACTGTTTTCAGAAATGGCGTTTTCTTTTCATTTCGTCTCCGTATGATGCATTTAAATTAGTGTTAATGGTTAATATGCGCAGCGCTGCTGTGTTAACAGCAGTAACCAAGGAAACGCTGTATCACTGTACCATAAGCGCTGTCTGCTGTCAGAGTGTGAATCTGCGTCTCATTCAGCCCACCTGTGGTTTCGGTTTCGTACAGATGTTTTATGTAGTATAATTTCACAAAGCTAAAGTCAGGTTATTCTGTTTTTGCTTCAGATTTTGAAATTATACAGTCGAATATAAATCAAACATTGCACTTTTTTTTTTTAAATTCATGATTAAAATGCAGTGGTTGCCTCTAATTTCAAATGGCTATGAAAAATCAAGGTGCAACACAGAGTGAAGAATATGCAAATGTTAATTTATATGTGATTTTTCAATTTCTGTACCTGAACATATACAAACATAAAAACCTAAAGCATCATTTCATTTATATTTTTGTGCTATAGGCCTATATTTAATTGTGCCATTACTTGTAATTTGTTCATTTGTTCTTATTTACTGGCTGTCACTTGTCTTTAATAATGTTTAAACTTTATATTTATGTTTATTTTTGGCTAGTGATTTTTGCTGTGGTATCGCAATTGAAATGATTCAATTCAATATTATTGAGAATTACAAAATTTAATTGGTATCTAAAATATTGGTGTCATAAGCTTATTTATTAGAATTAGGGATGCACCGATACCACTTTTTCCAGTACTCGCCCGATAACGATACTTTTATTTTTGGTACTTGCCGATACCGAGTACCGATTAGTTTAGAAAATGGTAATAAAATATAACAAGAACTCAGAGTTAAACCGTGTCAGAACAATTTCAGCTTGATAAATGTTAGATAACTTGGATAGAAAGGTATGTAATAGATTACAATCAACCAAAAATTAGACAGCTGTTAGTATGTCAGTATTTACACAACTATCAATACTTAGTCGGGCAACCCTTAGCCTTAATGACAGCATATAGGTATCGGGGCATTTTAACGAGTACGAGTACAGGAGCTCAGTATCGGCATCGGTGCATCCCTAATTAGAATACAAGATAACAGATCAAAAACAATGATGACAGCAAATATTTTATTTTTTGAGGCAGGGCCAGTGAAAATGTTGGAAGGGCAAGTAAAAATTTTTCCACTGGCCCGACTGGGCCAGTAGAAAAAAAATCCTTAGCGTTGATCCCTGATATGTGTACCATATCTATGATCTGACCATTGCAAATGACCGTTCGCAAAGACCCACCCTCCTTAGTTACTGTTGCTATCAGAAGGTTACTTCTGATATGAAACAAGGCCTCAGGACTCTCAGCTTTCAAATTTTGTAATTTTTTTAAAAGAAATTCAAACAATAAATAGTACTGTTTTGTGGCTCTTCAATGTGTCGTGACAGATCACTGTATTGCCTCAGTTCGGCTACTGGGCATGCGCATTTACATATTTTCCGAGCTGACGATATAACGTGAAACCTATGAAAACGGTTTTTAAAAAGCTCATAGCGCCATAGTTTCATCACTTTACAGTGTCGCAGTGACCATATTTTTGCAGTAAAGGACCCGTCATAGTTTCATGAGTGGGAAGATGACATGAAGCGATGTGAGGTTAGCTGCATTGAAATCAGATGAGCGCACATGTGCATACACAGCTCCCGATCGGGGCGAAGTTCATGGGATTTTGTCCACAGAATGATAAGAGCACATGTTTTAACATATTTTATTATTTCACACTCAGTATTTTAACTTAAGCGTTGCAAGCCATGCATACAGCGCCGGACATGACAGATTTTTGGTACACAAAACAAGTACTTTAAAGGAATTCCTTAGCTTATTACCGTTACGGTGGCAGCCAACAACAGCACAGCTTAACCCTCCGCACATATTTATCTATTGAAAGTTTAAAATCAGTTTATCTTTTTACCGTTTTAACATGGATTTCTATGGTGACCGGCCATAGATGTCGGGCAAGATGGCGGATATCAGCGGCGACACATAATATCTGCGTTCTGATTGGTCAGATCGCCTGTCAATCAAGCTCTTTGTGAACGGTCAATATTTATTTTTTAAATAATTCACATTACATTATGCTAAAAATACACCTAAAACAGAAGCAAATTGTCTCGAGGCCTTACCTTACGGTCATCACCAGCAGGGAAGAACTTGAGCGTGGGGAAGCTATGCACTTTGACAGCTTCAATCTCATTGGCTGTGGAGTCCATCTTGGCCACAACAATGTTTGCATTGTCTTTGAATTTCTCACCCAACTGATCCCAGATGGGGGCCAGCTGTTTACAGTGACCACACCATGGGGCATCTGGATCAAGAAAAAGCAAACGGAACACAAAATAACAGGTTCTTACTAAAAGGCGAATTTACACACTTTAAAAATTTGATTTCAGTCAGATAACAGCAGTTTACCCTTTTAATCTATACACCTCCAGTGATTTAATTCAAGTCTTCTGAAGCATTATGATCACTTAGTATGATAAACAGACAAAAATTAGACAGTAAATAAACTATTTAATTGGATAAAACCACTGGATTTGCATATGGGTTACAAATATATTAATTTGTGTTCCACAGAAGAAAATCATGTTTGAGTAAATGACAGAACTGTGAACTCTCACTTTAACTTGACTACAATTGCTCTAGCAGCTGTTGCACTTGCTCCGCAAAACAGAAGTGATGTGCAACATGGATATAATCCTACAAAAAAAACTGATTTCACATTGTGTCATGTTTGCGTGGACAGACATAGCTTGACTATGCAAAACCCCACTGGAGCTTGATTATAACTGCAAAGGTACATGTACTTATTGATACTAGTGATAAAGTTATGACACATGAAATTATATCAAGTTGGCTAATGGACTTGTAAAGAGTACAGGAACAGGGATATGCAGGACCTATAATGGTTTCAGGGTGCTGAGAAATACAGGGCAGACAATGGGACTAAAATGTGGGGGAAAAAGCAGATGGGTTTTCAGAGTCAGTCTGGCACTGGTTACTGACAGCTGCATGTATGATGCAATCTACCCATTGTCAAAACATTTTGGAAATCCAAAACTCATTTCACAACAACCATTTTCATAACCGTTCTAATGCCCTCGATGAAATGAAATATAACCCCCTTCTACCCTTCAAGACCTATGCCATTTATTAGAAAGTCAGTAATAGCCATGTAAAAAAAAAAAAAAGTCCCTTTCCTCATAGAAATGCTAGTTTGGGAAGCAGTTTGTTTTAAAGATCTCTAGAGCCAAAATGATCTCAGCATTTCTCGCGCTTTCCTATTATAGCAAGTTTAAGAGTATATATGAAGGAGAGCTCTCCAAGTAAGTATCCTGTGGGTGCCCGTGCCAGGATTAGCAGTATGCTTTTGGACAGATACAGGAATCTTGTGTTTACAATGCCAGGCTATTAGGATAGGCAATCAAAAGATCCCACTTTCAAAATAAATCAGGCAATATGCCATGCAAAGTGATCTCTCAAACCAAGTGCTCATACATGGAATGACAAGCAACATTCAAGACTACAGAACTTGCATCTAAGCAAAGACATTTTTATATAGAGAAAAAAATACGTACAAAACTCTATAAAGACATTCTTGGCGGGGTCGAAGGCAACCTCTTCAAAGTTTTTGCCCACCAGGACCATGACAGGGTTCTTATCCCAGTCATCAGGAATATCCTGACTCATCAAATGAGGCTGAAAGACATTACAATAATTCATAACACGCACACAGACACACACAACAATCATTCCAAAAAGACAGAACACGTTTTCATTTAAGCGCCAATTTTTAAAGGGGTCATATGATGCGATTTCAAGTTTTCCTTTCTCTTTGGAGTGTTACAAGCTCTTGGTGCATAAAGA